CTGCCTTAGCCCGGGGGCTTTCCCGCCTTTCCGGGAGTAGCCTGTGGCATGGCCAGAGTCACTCTGCCCCCAGCAGTGGTTATTCCAGCCCGGCCAGACCTGCTGTGCCATGGGTGGGGGTGCTCCATCCCAGATGAAGCAGCCCATGATGTGCCCAGCTGGGCAAGAGCAGGCTATAGCACAGAGAGCCTGGTGAGGCTGGAGCAGCCCTCCACCTATGGGATCCCATTTGAGTGGTTAACTGGTTAAATGTAACATTTAATTAGTTAACTGATTAAATGGGATTTTATAGCCCTAGTTCCAGGTGCAAAATGACAGTGCTGGTTAGGGCCTATAAACTTCTAAATGGTGTGAATCTTAGTTATTTGAGAGTTGTTCCTTCTTTCTTCTCCTCCTCCTGTTCTATTTTTTCCTTGGATTTAACACTGTAGTGGCTGATGACACAGTTTCTCATTGGAGAACCTAAATCTCTGCAGTTGACATTGACTGAGATGAATTAGTTTAATATAGGGGACAGGAAAATTGTGATATTCTATGTGGAAAGGGTTCTTTTACTGAGACAAAGTTTAGTTTTTTTTGTTTTTTAATGGTTTTTATAGTGCCTGGTGTCTTCTACTTCGGGTGCCAATATAAATGGTCTATATACTGATTGCCTTGCTCTGCTTAATCGACATGGACGTTATGAATTCTATTTTTTTAATTGTTGCCTTAAATATATTAATAAATGGCACAGAAGCTCAAAATTTCCATGATGTTAATATGCCTTTCAAGTTATGCATGTTTATCACTGATAGCTTGGAACAGAATTGCTAGTGCAATTGTAGCCCTGACAGGTGGAACCAAACCTGGGTCTACTGGAGCTTAGTGCATAAATCTCTACAGCTTGAGCTTAGGCTACGTCTACACTGCAAGCTTCTTTTGGAAGAAGCTTTTCTGGAAGAGAACTTCTGGGAAAGCTTATTTCAAAAGAGTGTGTCCACACAACAAAAGCTCAACAAAAAAGCGATGTGTTTTTTTGAAAGATAGCGTTCAATCAATGTGGATGCTATCTCACATTTAAGTTGTGATTAGTCTGGATAGAGTAGCCACCAGAGCACCTGTGTTATTTCCTGGAGGCCTCTTCTTTCGAAAGAACTCCCTCTCCTGCATCCACACACGCCTTTTTCCAAAAAAGCTTTTTCGGAAAAAGGCTTCTTCCTTGTAGAATGAGGTTTACTGCCATTGGAAAAGCCCCTCCGTTCTTTCAACTTACTGTCGTAATAACTCAGTAGCAGTATGGACACAAGTATTGTTTTTCTGGAAAAACAGCTGTTTTTCTGGGAAAATGCTTCAGTGTAGTCGCACCCTAAGGCTGTAGAGCCAACTCATTCTTTCTCTCTGTAAATGGCCTAAGTGCCACTGCATGGGACACCGATTCATACCCAGAAGGGGTTTAGGTTTCATAACGTCAAAAGCCTTAATAATACATAAAAAAGAAA